ATTCAAATGTGATATCTGGTATATGATATAAAATATATAAAAGAGATTTATAGAGTGATGTGAGATTAGTTCTATCAGTATAATTTAAATAATACTGATGTTTTAATACTAACCTAGAGACTATAGACTATAGTCTATAGTCTTATTTTATAACTTAACTTATCAATGTAATAGTACATCACATTGTGCTACTTTACCGTTTTTGAACATAAGATGATATAATGTTGAAAGCTTTTAAGGTTACAAGCTATTGTAAGTGCTAACATTGACAAGAAATTGTATGATATAAATTGATCTAATAATATTATTATGCATTTTGTTTATTGTATTCATTCATAGAATATAAATTGACGAAACACAACTTTTTATTTTAATTATGTAACTACATATGTTCGTATAATATATGATTTGTTTATCATACTCAAATTTTAAGTTATTTAGATATAATATCATATTATATGATATTATATTAAATAATATTTTTTATATTATAAAATTATGTATATTATATTACTATATTATTTGTTGTTAATGTCATATCATATTATCAAATATCACATATACAAATACGATGATTGCAAACATGATTTTATTTCATTGTATTGCGAATTAAATTGTATATTATATTGTCATAGTGTCATTGTCATTTCATTAAAATATAAGATGCTAATTCATGTTCTTGTATTTTATACTATACTGCAAGTGTAAAATGTTACTATATTGAAATATGTTACAGTATGTAGCTATTATATATTGAAATGTATTTTATACTTTTGAATGCTAGTGTATTGTTTTTGCTTTGTTAAGTGTATTACAAATTGTTTTGTTTAAACCTTGGCATTCGTGTTTTTATTTTTTAAAGATGATATCTGTAAGAATTCCAAAAAATACTGAATAGTTTATTATATAATATAATATATATAATATATATATATATTATATATCATATCATTATCCATGTGATGATTATATGATTGACTTAAAAAATATATGATATAATAATTATTACTATTGTTTTTTGCATTTAAAAGTAATTTAAAATATAAACAAATCATATCATCTCAAAAATATGCTTATAATCTATATATTCTATAATAAGATTGGTATATGTAAATTATAATGTAGTAACGTACGTAATAAATATTATACAAACTAAGACTATATTATTATAGTACTGGATCTGTGAATATACTATATTATATATGATATGTGTATATGATGTATGTGATATATGATATGATATGATATTAGACTACTATATTATTTACCACATTAAAAAATACTATTACTTGTTTGTACGCAATGAGAGTTATTAATAGCACCACATCTTCTTGAATAGAATCAAAGCATATCATATCAAACTCAAAATTGACTTGTAAAAAGGGCTGCCTGAAACTTGTAAACTCAAACTCAATTTTAAAAGTTTCGGGCACCCCCTCTTTTGACACATCCCCTTAACATCATAGTATAAGATTTTTCCGGGTATTACTTTGTTTTCCTCATGAATTACATAATATATTATAAATTATATATTATATAATTATATTATATATAATATAACTCATTATAAATATAAATAATAAAATAAATTATTATCTCACATCATGTTATCTGAATTATATCATATCAATATAATATAGTTATAAGTTATAATATATTATATTAGTAATAGCCTTGTATTGTAAAACCACCTCGCCTTCTCCGTCAAAGAAGCCCAATGGTCATCACATTCTCCTTCTGCGTTGACATCGTCCCCAGACGCCAGCACACGCTTTCGAACAGCTGAGTGGTTGCTGTCCTCAAAGACTTCAATAGCTCCCATCACAAACTTGTCCCTCAACACTCCTGTGACTGACTTGCCCATGTGAGGGATGGTGACTGTCTTGCCTTTCTTGTACAAGTGGGACTCGTCAGTCTTTTCCAAGAGGTCCCTCGTCCATAGGTAGCCTTTCAACTGGCGAGTGGACAGACCATGCCTTGACTCAGCTTCAACCGACACGGAAGTCACACGAGCAGCACGCTTGCCCTCACGGCGGTTGCACTCCCACTCTTCCAGCCCAGCCATGTAATCTTCGAAATTCTCGGGTTTGCTCAGGAACTGAGCAACTTCTGCCCGGGATTTCCCTTGCAAGTTTGGATGCTTCTTGAGATAGGAGACGCAGGGATTGCATTGGGCTAGCGTTCCCGATCTCTTGAGCATGTCACCATGCTTGGGATTTTTGACTACCGGATTGGGCGTGTCAGCGAAGCTTCTCTTACACGTCTTACAGCAAGCCGACGACATGTAGGCTAACTACGGAACAAACGGTCCTTGCCGCAGAAATTCAACTCGAATCTACGCACTCTGTGATTGGTCCAACACACTTCCAAATGCGCATTGAATTCCAGTGCTTTGGTGTGCAAAATGATAGCCAGGAATCAGAAAAAAATGCCATCGTGAATCATAAAGAAATTGGAAATAATGCCACTGCAAAACCATCCTTTGGATCAACAAGACGCTGTCACAATTCAGGCAATGTCACGGCTTGAAAGTCTGTCGGTCAAACACATCCGAAGTTCACTCTCTTACCTTTGACATGTCCTACCCTGAATGGAAATCTCAATCAATCCAGACTGACAGATTGATCATTTCAAACTTGAAATACGATTGCTTAGTTTGAGTGATGTTGGCTGACCCATGGCTGGCCGCAAACAGTTTGTCTCACGGCTAGCGAAATGCGGGTAAATCACGACCACTCCGCCAAGCAAAGCTCCAGGATGACATGCGATGCAGATGCACCACCAAATCAAAAAAGTGCCCTCTACGCAGTGGAGTCTGAACCAGGCATCTCCTCAAACAAATAATGATTATGAATGATTGATTGACTTGATGTAGCAACAAGTGTAGTTTCTCTTTCAGGCAAGGGAAGCAAAATAATGATGAGTTCAAAAAACAGCTCAAGTCAGATCCATATCAAATCAAGGGCTGCCAATATGATCAATGTGTCTTGCCCGTGGCAAGACATCAATTTTCCACATTGGGAAACGAACGGCGCAAAGACGCAGGGCTGATACGGCCAAAACCTTGCTCTTCAAGGTTGTCACTCAGATAGTTGTAGAAGTCAACCACGTTGTGGACCCCAAAGCTGGCATTGTGATCACGCATCTGAACGAAATCTTCGTAGATGCGGGCACGGGCCCTCTTGAAGCGCTGCTTGGGAGAGAACTCTGACTCATCAATGTCAGAGTCAAGAGGAACCAACTCGTTGTCTGAGTCGTTCATGTCAATGAGGAAAGAGCTGCCACGGCGAACGAGAGATGACGGCTTCTTCATGACTTTCTTATCTTTCTTTGCAGCAGGCTTCTTCGAGAGTGCACTGCCTGCACTGGCTTTGCCAGAGGATGACCCCTTACCGGCCGCGGGCTTTTTCATGATGGTGGATGATGACGGCTTCTTCATCACCTGGCTGCGGGCTGCGGGTTTGTTCTTGCCCTTCTTGATGTCCTTGGGGAAGCCCTTGGCTGCTGGTTTCTTCTCGACCTTGTTGCCAACAGCCTTGGCTGCTGGTTTCTTCTCGACCTTGTTGCCAACAGGCAAAGTCTTGCCATGTTTCTTGGCAGGGCTACCAGCCTCATCCTTCTTCTCGAAGATGGTGCTCTTGGCCCTTGACAATGCTGTTGGCATGCTCGGGCTCATCTTGCTTGGAGTCGGTGGCGGATCCCGTGGAGTGCCAGCGCCCATGATGACGGTTGGCGAATCACACAGGTCAGCCATTGCAAATGAATCAAGAACGAATTGGAAAGGACTTTCGTCTGAATCTGGCTAGATCAGTCTTGGTTTGCTAAAGCCAAGATAAGCCAAACAACGTGTTTCAAGTGATGACGGTCCTCCAAAAACAAAGCTTGAATATGCTCAATTGTTTCCAAAATCATGGTCAAAATGTGCCAAGAATAACATCCAAAAATCATCAAAAATGACTCAAAAATTGACCTCAGACCAGAGGAAAAAATAGGGCTTAACTCCCGGACTTAAGCCCTATTTTTGGGATCCAGACTTAAGCCCTATTTTGGCCTATTTAGCTTGCAGAAACTCGAAAAATATGGTTTAACTCCTGGCCAAAAAATAGGGCTTAACTCCCGGACTTAAGCCCTATTTTTCAAGCCCGGAAAATGCTCCAAAAGACCTAAGAATAGAGTCCCAAAATGTGTCGAAATTTGACCAAACACATCTCAAAATTGACCATAGGAAGTTGTTCTTTTTGAGATTCTGTAAAGTTGGATGACATGTTGAAAAATCCATTTGAATTGCGTTGGATTCTATCAGGTCAAAAAAACGCACAACCACGTTTGTCTTGCTACATAATTTTCTGTTTGATCTAGATGTTCTCATCAGGAATGCAAAGTAAGTTGTAGATGGAATTCAACTTGAATTCCCACTGGTTATTGTTCATTTTCCCCTCTTTGCTTTGAGTCTTGAAATGCGTCCCGAACATTCTGAAACAAAGGCGTGACTGCCCAACATGGCAAGGTTTGTGGAGGCTTGGAGCTTCCTGATAAAGCTGTTGGATTTTTTGATCAAGAACAACAACAACTACATCAGTTTGAGTTCAGACTGGATACTTGAAAAGCTGGGCAATCATTGATTGCAATCTTTACTCTGGAGGGAGGACCCGTAAGATATCTTAAAGACTTGAAGCCCTGGATACTTAAGACTTGAACCCAATGACAATAATTTTAACTTAACTAACAACTAATCTAAGTAATATCATAGAATCATAGTGTCATAGTTTTAGAGTACATGAAGAAAGATAATAAGATTGCATGAACCGTCTTAGCAACGACACCAACTGCAACATAGCAAAATATGTTATTGTAAACTATTGTCTCTTGTCTATTGTGCTTTAAATCTTTATGGTGATAAATTAGAAAGTAGTTATTTCAAGTTGTTTCCTTTGTAATTTTCATTGTTCACCCCAAAGCCGTCCACATTCGTGCATGGATGCGTAGACCGCCTGTACAAATCACTCGCGAACTTTCATTCCATAGGAGAGCCTAATTTCCTTGCTAAGATTGGTGTGCATAGCAGGAGTGCTATCCAATGCTACTGAAAGCCATTCAACTAATTTGTTGACCTTGCCATGCTCGGCATCAGCGTCGCTATGCGAACTACTCAACATGCAATGGCAAAGCCTGTGAATTGAGCAGCTTGCCTTCAAAGTCTGATTGCGCACGTTTGCAATCAGCGAAATCTTTCCAACGGGCGTGTGAATGCCGTTGGGCCACTGCTGGCGAACTTCATACATCAAATTACCAGCAACCAGATTCTTGTGAGATAACAACTTTAACACGTTACCATCAGAACGCCTGGACAAAATAGTTTCCGAAGAAGATACAGCACCGCTGGAATCAGAGGAGGGTCGGTCCTCTCGGTTGGAAGTAGAAGATGACGATGCAGCCGATGCACTTTCGGAAACCCCTGGCATATCATCCAGTCCAAAAAGATCATATTCTTCAAGGTTCTCAGAAATCTGTTCTGGTGCATTGGGATCTACCTCAGGCTCTTCCTCAAACTCACTAACCTCAACATGAGCCTTTCCTTCCTCGTCTGACTCAACAAAATTGAACGCAGCTTCAACACCAGGCTGATGAATGCTGGAGCAACACGACACTGCATCCAATAAAGATGCTTTTGCCCCTTCATCCAAGGATGCCACTAGAGCAATATCACCTGATCTATGTGACCGGAAGGAAAAAAACCAGAGACAGGAGACAGGGATTAAACAGTCTGTTATTTTTTGTTATTATTTATTTATGTTATTTTATTTATCGATTGTATGTTATATGGTTTGTTTGTAGCTTGTGACAAAGGTTTCTAGAGCAAAGATTTGAGAGACTTGTGCTTGGTTCATGGATACTTTCAAACCCTTGTAGCTTAAAAAACTCTGATATAGTTAGAAATTACAAAAACTCATATGATATGATATAATATTCCTGAGTTCTATGGGGAAGATCATGTAATCACATGAATGAAACGAACAGCAAACAAATCAAACTGAAATGTTGCAGTCGGTCTAAAACTTGCTCACGTGACCCACAGCGCGACGGAGTTGCTGTTGCATTTCAGAGTTGTCCAGATCCACTTCAGCTGGAAATGAAGGCCCTTCGGCCCCCTGGTACGCCTCATCAACAACATGTTTTCGAAGCCGGGTGGATGTCATTTGCAAAGGCTTCGGCTTGGAAGATTTTTTGCTCCTAGTCTGAGTTTTTGATGGTTCATCATCAAGCACCAATGACAACAAGTCAGGCACAGCTGCCTCTTCAGAAGCCCCTATAGGTGGTTGGTCTGAATCATCTTCAACTACTTCTCCAATTTCCTCTTCCTCCTCCTCCCCATTCTCAACTTCATGCATGAGAACACGGATTGGCTCAAACTCTGGAGAATAACGGGTGACACGCACCCGTCTGAGAGATACATCATCAAAGTCAAGACGACGAATGGCAATTTCATCTGGCAAAGCGGCAGTTGCTTCGAACGTTCTAAAAAGACGCTCGGCAAACTCCTCTTCTGACAATTGTTCTAAAGGCCCGGAAGGAAGCAAATTGGACGCATGCTCAACCGTGGATTCCAAAAATGGCAACGCTTCCAAATCCAGAAAAAAAGAACCTCTTTCCAAGTCAGTGTCGCTGCGGTTTCCTTCAACATCTTCGATCTCAACCCTCCGACAAAGTATGAACGCCTGAGAGGCACTGTGAGGCCCGCTGGCAGCACTAGGGGCGACAAGCCATGCATGCACATCATGCACATCACGGCTGATCCCGTCAATGACTTGAAATTGCAACAATATGTTCTCCTGTGCTGCGCGACCAATCCCCTCACCAGACCATTCAACCACCTCCTGCATAGCACGAAGCAACCTTCTAAAAAAAGAAACCACAAGGATGTCATTGTGAAAGCGACAGAAGCTTCCACAGTGTCCCTGGTATTGCACTTGCCTTGGAAATGCAAAACCTGGTGGTGGGCGAACAAACCTTTGAGCCTCTTGGTCAAACCTAGATAGCGCTTGTGCCCACGTGATCCCATGTGCAACATTGCTTCGCCAAGATGATTCCAGCAAGGACTCTGAAATGGGGTGTTGGTTGTTGTCACCCAATAAGTCAACCTTTGTTGACAACATTTCATTCAACACATTCTTGGTCATCTCCGACATGATGTCCAAGTCCGTTTGTTGCTCCATCACTGATGCCTCTGCCAACCATGGATTCAAAGGCAAGGCAACGTGCAAACCATCCTGATCGCCTCCTTGCAAAACCAATGGCAGAGATGAATCTTGATTTGCCAAAGCCACTTGAAGTGAAGAACTCTCAATTTCAATCTGGTCTTTGACAGATGAGCCGTCCAATGCACGTTTGCGAGCAGCTTCTGCTCCGGATTCAGTTGCCAGCTCTTCGTAGTATGCGCGCATGTTCGGGTTCAATTGACTGAAAGCCTCTTTGAGTTCCACCCAAAATTCTTTGGAAGCAGGGTTTACTTTGGCATCAGACCCTTTCAAACTTTTCTGTGACAGGATCCAATCATCCCTGAAGTACATGTAAGCAGGTTTCCGCCTGATTTGGGGAGCACGCATTTTGGTAACAAGTGGTCCTTTCTTTGCCCCCTGTGAAGCTTTAGCAGAAGCATCGGAAATCCCAGAAAGCGACTTGCACCAACTCTCCGCTTCCAACACAGCATCACGTTTCATGCAACCAAACTCTTGGTTCAAGTGTTTGGCAACAATGGTCGGAAACGGACGATCACTCCAGTGCTTTGAAAGTGCATGCTTGCATTCTACATCAGCGATGGATGTAGACATCAGTCGAGCTATGCCGTGAAAGAAATGCGTCCACTTCCTTAGTGGTGGAGAGAGGTGCTACCCCACACTACTGACATGAGAATACCAAACCAGATGAGGTCCAAACAAAAGAATTAGACTGCAAAGAAACCGGTGATTGTTTTTGCATACTGTCTAATTTCAAAGATGATCAGGTATCTAACAACTAAAAGCAGCCACAAACATGCATTTGACATAATTATATTGAATTGATATGATATAAAAACAAATATTACATTATATAACAAGATAATTTAATAGTAACATTATTATATAATTATATAATAATATAACAACCATATATAATATAATATAGTATAAAAAATATAAATATCATATAAATTATAAATACGTTTGAATCTTCTTTGAAGGATTGATAAACAACAATTTCAAGTGAATTTTCTCATGGGTCAGTTGAATCAATTCTCAAAAACAAATCAACACAAATCATATCAAGTTCAAATACCCCATGGTTGAATTTTTGATGCCTTCAATATTTCAGATTCATGCGCTGGATCTATCGGACCTCACTACAAATCCATAAGGTGCATTTGAGCAAGTAACAAGTTTTAAAACAAAAGCTACACGGCTATGAGATTAGAAGAGTAACCCTAATCCCCGATTTAAAGAGTAGAAGACAAGAATCTCATCCTCAAGAAGTTCCTGGGATGTGATGCCACGTTCCTTCAAACATCTGGCGATGCCGGGTCGCACGCAGCATGTATGGCAGGAATCCCAACGAGTCAAAACTGATTCAAAAAACTCTGGGTCAGCTTCCGCATCACTGATGACAACTAGCGGCCACGGAAATTGCATCCAGTATTTGACATGGCGTTTGTAAATCCAAGCCGACAACGACATCAACACATGTCGCAATTGTCTGAGAGAGGCCGGAAAATCATGGCACCAATCTGCAAAACACGTGCGGTCTGATCTCCAAACAAATTGAAGACGGCCCCGGCCCTCAGAATCGAAAAGCATGTGAGAAATCCACTGAAGAACAGCTTGAACAACACTGGTGCGTGGATTGAACAGAGTATACAAAGGCAAACGCTCGGCCCTCTTGGCACGGTTCAAATTGTGCAACCAATGCTTTGTGAGGATTTGCAAAGCCTCTCCCACAATGATAAATGTACGTACTGCGAACTGTGACTCTCTGCATTGAAGAAACTCCTTGCTCCCCAAGTATCGCTTTCCTTGTACTTCGTGAAAGTGCAGTGACTCAACCATACGAGGATCTGCACCTTCTGATTCTTTTGTGGAATCCTTGAACTCAATTGCCTCGAATGCCAAATTAAAAATGTTTGGAAGATAATTGCACAACACCAAGCCAACAGCAACAAATTCCAGAGGCGCCCAAAGCTTTGACCACTTGTTGGGCACTGGTGGGGGCGGTGCTGCAGTCAACAGCAAATCAATTGCAGTCTTGCTCATTTTGTGAGCAGCTTCAGCCCGGCTGGTGCAATGGCAAGAATTACAGGTCGCCTGCATGCTATTGCAAAAATGCTGGGGTGGTCCAGATGCCGATCCATTCCACATATCTTGAAAAGCATCCAGCTTTTTGCAAAACTGTGACGACTGATGATTTTGGTCAGTGATCTTACCCGTATCCCCCTTTGATTCTTTGGAATGTCTCATTCGTATCAGACTGACAATCTCAGACATGAGAGGGTCTGGCTGAAGAGAATTCATGTCGCAGCTACATTGGAAATCCATTTCTGCCTCAATCCATTGTTTCAAGGCGATTTGTAATCGCAGGATGTAGCCGAGGTTTGTCAAAAATACAGACAATTGGTATAATCTCGACAACAATTTTTTCTGAATCAATGAAAGCATCGAAACGGTTATCAAATGGGTTGCGTGGTTTTGGCAGCGAGCTGCGTCAATCAAATTCCCACCTGCTTGCGTGAGATTGAACGCGTGTAAACGCTCATTGGCATAAGCGCCGTCGACTTCATTCAGGATGCAAACTGGAAGTTCAGCTGTTTCACCAATCCTCTTCATGACTTCATTCAGAACAGTGTAGCTGGGATGGTTGAAGAGACCCAAATACATATTGTCAGCACTGGCGCTAATCAGAGGTATGGGCGGAACTGCCTCCCACATGCAAAGCCCCACTCGAAACAAACATCAGTCAGGCCAAAAGAGTCTAAACAGTGAGCATACAATAAATAGTTTTGTCAATACACAATGCTCAATCTAAAGACCAATTAGCCAGCCAACCAACCACACAAAAAAGCAAAATAACAAGGTGCATGCATATTGACATATGATATGTTATATGAGTTATATGTTATCATATGTTACATACATACATAGTTGCATACATAGTTACAAACATAGTTACATACATAGTTACTTACATACCCTTACCTACATTTATATACATACATTTACATACATACATGCACAAACATTTGCATACATACATACACATACATACATACATACATACCTACCTACATACATACATACATACACACATACTTACATACATACATATACACGTCACATACACATACACACACATACACAAACACAAACACATTACATACACGTCACATACACATCCACATCCGCATCCACATCCACATACATACATACATACATGCATACATACATACATACAAACATACAAACATACATACATACATACATACTTACATACATACTTACATACATGCATACATACATACGTACATACTTACTTACCTACATACATACATACATACATACATTTTCACACAACCTCGCATACATATCATACAACTACATGCATGTCACAACAAATATTATGAAATCATTTTGGTGCCATTTTTCATCAACTGTCATATCTATCTATTTTGATATAATATATGATATATGCAAATTATATTTATATATTCAAGATAGAATATTATTATTATCTAGCACAGTATTTATAACTGTCACAAAACAGAAAAAACTATAGACTGTAGATTGTAGACTGTAGACTAGAGACTGTAGACTATAGGACATAAACATAGACATAGACTGACATAGACTGACATAGACACATAGACACGTAGACAGTGACCCAGACATAGTGTGACATAGACGGTGACATAGACAAAGACATAGGCGTGATAAAGACAGTGACATAGACTGACTTAGACATTGACATGGACAGTAACACAAACAATGACATAGACAGTGGCATTGACATAGACTATCATAGGCTATAGGCCCTATAGTCTAGAGTCAGAATCATAGTCATAATCTATGTCTATGTCACATGTCTGACTAAAGTGACAGTGACATAGACAGAAGCAGTGACATAGACAACATTTTTTCTATGATATATGATATATAAGTTATAAGATTTTGAATTATGATGATATTAGATTAAATGGTAGATTTTAAGGGAATTAACGGTAGACTAAGACTAAGACGATTGACAATTGACAAACACTATAGACCAGAGACTACATACTATACTAAACTATTCTATATAATGCAGACAGAAGACTGCAGACTCTTCTGTGGACTGGACTCGACTAGACACTACCGACTATAGACTATAAATTGAAGATTAAAAGGCTATAGACTATAGACTATAGACTAGATGACGATAGACTAATCGAGGCTACATAACTATGGCAGTCAAAAACATACCGGCAACGGAATCTTAGTTGAACAATATCTCAAAAACAGACCTGTTCAGTGATTTGCTGCCAAAACCAGCGCAAAGAATGCCAAAACATGTGCCAAACTCGACCCAACCAAACAAAACTTGTTGCACGAACGAGCTGCAATCCGAAATTCCATTGCCTTACCACTATGCCACACAACTCTGAACAGGATCCGAACAATCATGACTGACCAAGTTGATCTGACCGGGTCTGTGGTTCCTCCAGGATTCAATGTGGTGGTGACAGTGGTCTCGTCCCATTTTGTGCGCCTTGCCAATGCCAAAAGGCATGCATTGAATTGCAACAGAACCCACAAGACAACATTGGAAACGCAGAGCAAAGAAACCTTTTTGTCAATCTCAAAAAAAACATACTTACTACATATCAACCCACTTTTCAAATCAGTTCAAACAGTTCAAGCATCAAAATATGCTATCCAGCATTTGTTCTAGTGACCGGAACACTGCAAGAGGACGCTTCTTTCGGCAGTGCGCCAGCAAATGCAAAAGAAGCTTTGACTGAGAGGACTGGCATAGCCCAGCGCACGTCTTCTGCAATTTTGGAATAGTACTGGGATGAACACCCAGTCTCCCAGCAAGAGCAACATTGCTGGTGCTGGGCGAAAACGCTGCTTCAGAAAACTTTGAAAAATGAATCTTTCGTACAAACCGATTCCCTCTTCTGCCCTCCTTTGACAAGGAAAGTATGATCCCCGAACTTTTCTTGGAGTTGCCTTTCGCTGAAACCCGAAAACTTTTTCCATTCTTCTGAAAAGTTGAACCTTCCAAGCTTTCAATGATGGTACCCAATGCTTTGTGTTTTTTCCTCAAATCTTTTGTACTTCTCATATGGTATGTCAAGAATTCACGTTCTATTTTGGAACCGTGCCTACCCTGGCCACACTTCCCCTGAAGCAGGACAGGTTTGAACTGGTTCTCTTCCCCAGATTGCTGCCCAGAGCAAGGCACATGATCTAGCGTAGATTGCTGCCCAGAGCAAGGCACATGATCTAGCGCATGATTCTCAACCACCTGCTGCCCGCCATCATCTGCAACAACTAGATCAAGAATGTCCGTCATCTTGTGCCAACATAGCTACAGTCAGAAATATATTCAATGTGACCCGAAAGATATAGGTTTCATCAGCTCATTGTTGGCCATCACATGAATCATATGATCAGGATGTTGGTTTGGAAGACCCAACAATTTGATCTGACAAGTCTCGTAAACACCCCTTATGGTGTCTCAATAATGTGTCTTACACATCCCAAAAGTATGTCTTATGTATCCTCTAAAATGATGCTTAAATATCCCGAAAATAGATTTTCAGGGTCTAAAAAATAGTGCTTAAACCTCCCAAAAAATATGGTTTAAGTGTCTTAAAAATATGTTTTAAGGGTCTAAAAAATAGTGCTTAAGTGTCTCCCAAAATAGGTCTTAAGTGTCTAAAAAATAAGGCTTAAGTGTCCCCAAAAATAGGTCTTAAGGGTCTAAAAAATAGGGCTTAAGTTTCCCCAAAACTAGGTCTTAAGGGTCTAAAACATAGGGCTTAAGGGTTGCTGAGAGATAGGCCTTAATTGCTAGCATACGACTTCTAAAGAAACACCCCAAATTACTGTTAGAAGAAACGTCTAATATATAGTTTATGTGTGTGTCTCCGCCGCCCCCTGCCAAGCCCTCCCCTACTAGGCGGGGTAGCGCCCAACACTTGCCCGCAACCTTGTCCAACCTTCCCGCTTGTTTCGCAACTGCCTGCCACCTGCAAGTCTACAGCAGACCCACTTGCCCAGTGGCAGCCTGCTGCAATTTCTTTTCACGTCTCACAACTCTTTTCTGGCCCCTTTGGTTCTGCACAACCCCCCCTAAATTCATGTTTTTGCTGCTCCGGATTGCCACCTTTGGCTCTCCAGCAAACCACCTGCCCGCCTCTTTCACAACTGCCCGGCACCTGCCAGTCTCTGACGGCCGTACCTGCCCAGCCTTCTATACAGGCTCTTTGAAAACTAAGCTTCCGACCCTACCTGCCCCGCCGTGTCAAAGCCCTTTTCACGGGTTTCACACTACCAACTGCTACCTTTGCTTCTGCACGGCCCCACTTCCCAACAGTGTCGAAACAGCCGTTTGCCACCTTTGGTTCCGAAACACCCTGCCTGCCCGACCTTGCCAAAATCTTGCGCTGCCACCGTTGGTTACACAGGCAATACCTGCCCACACTATGTCACGCCTTCGAAGAGTCAACTGTTGTGTGCAGCTTTGGTTCTACAAAGCCCTACCTGCCAAGCTTTGTCAAGCATTTTTAAAGGGGTCGGCGGCACCAGGGCGTCAGCCCATTTATATATATATATACATATATATGCCCAGCGTTTAGTTCCATTGTAGCAGCTTTTTCCCAGAACATCCCCCTAAAAAACCATGGGTTTTCTCTGCCCTGATTAAATCGTCTGAGGTCCCTGATCCGAGATAATTTCCAACGTCGACAGGGAGGTCCATGGAATGGTGCCATCGAAGACCGTAGCACTGGTCGTCAAGGGCTTGCTGACCGTCAGCCAAGTGTTCGCGGACACGGTAGTTTCACTAGAAACACTTGACACCTTGGCCAAGTGTCAAAACTGGGCTAGTTGAAGTGGGGACTAACATGCTAAAGGGAACTTGATGAAAATTGAATCAAATGGAAAACCAATCGGATGAAACCATCTTACCGGTGGAAAATGTTACCGATGGAAAATGTTACACGAGAACAAATGCCACAACCCCAAGAAACACCATGACTTGAGGTGCCCTTTGGCGCGTACAAGATGCAGCAAATATTGTGCTGTCTGGCGGAAACATGCAAAAATTGCGTACGGAACATCGTGCTTTGCATTCTCGAAAAAAAAACAGTTTTCCATTTGCTGCACGATGTCACAAAGCAATGTACTACTCAATGCTTTCTTCTGTGTTCTGACTGCAAACACTCCAAAGCACGAACCCATGTGTGCAGAATATAGTGGAGTTTGCAGTGTAGAGTGTGGTCTGTGGAGTGTAGAGTGTGGAGGTTGGTGTGTTGGAGTCTGTATATATAGAGTGTGGAGCGCGGAGAGGGCCACGCGCCACATTGTACACACCCAACATCACCCAACACTCTCCCCACACAACCCCTCACACTCCACCGCCCAGACTCTACACTCTACACTCACTCCACACTCTACACACCCGACGCGAAGAAATCATGATGCGTTCACCTGCAATTATCCGGGCAAGAGGCACCAAACAGTGTGGGGGGAGTGGGAGGATAATGTAAAGGATGAGGAGGATGAGGAGGAACATGTTGCGGACGATGATGTTGAGGACGATAATGTCGCAGAAGATGAGGTGGAGGAGGATGAGGTTGCGGAAGAGGAGGTGGAGGATGATGATGTGGAGGATGATGATGTTGAGGAGGATGAGGAGGAGGATGATAATGCGGAAGATGAAGTTGAGGATGAAAAGGTGCAGGAAAGGCGGAAAGGACTTAGGACCTAAGAGCATCAGTGGCTGCCAAGCTAGCAGGACAAGAGCGACCCTAGTAGTGAAAAGAAGAGATACGAGGTAAGATCTGCAAGTTCCCTTTGTAAAGATCTCTGTAGAAGATCGTGCGCAAGACCTCCTTGAGGGGTCCTCTGTAGAAGCTGCTGTGCAAGATCCCTGTGTAAGGCTATCTGTACAGTGTCTATAGGAAATCTCCACGGGGATCTTAAAGAACAAGATCTCTGTTCAAGCTATCAAAAAATAATCTGCAAGCAAGACCTCTGCTCTCTTCTCCAGGTCTCCGTACAAGATCTCCATAAGAGGTCTCCTGGCACGATCTCTGTACAAGATCTCTACAAGAGCTCTGTTGGCAAGATCTCTGTAAGAGACCTCTTGGCAAGATCTCCGTACAGATCTCTATAAGAGATCTCTTGGCAAGATCTCTTTATGAGATCTCTGTACAAGATCTCCAAAAAAGCTCGTGGAGCCGGAAAAAAAAAGCACGGGAAATAAGACTGTGCACAACCAAAAAACAAGACAAGACAAGACAAAGCCGCGCCCCAGAACCACGGCCCAGCCTTTGTGCGAGCCTGCGCAGTCGGAACGCATGTCAACATGTCACAAGAGACATCAGAAGAGCCGCTTTATACGGAAATTTACAAGAAAAATGCCGCGGCCCAGATTGAGCCCAGAACGCAGACACACACTTTGTGCGCAGTCGAAATATGTCGAAATGCACTTCAACATTTCATAAGAGCTAATTACTGTACTGTATACGGAAATTTACAGGAAAAATGTCGCGCCCAATCGAAATGCACATCAACATTTCACAAGAGACATCTGAAGAGCCATTGCATACGGAAATTTACAAGAAAAATGCCGCGGCCCAGATTGAGCCCAGAACGCAGACACACACTTTGTGCGAGCCTGCGCAGTCGAACTGCACTTCAACAACATTTCATAAGAGCCACTGTATGCGGAAATTTACAGGAGAAATGCCGCGGCCCAGGTTGAGCCCGCGGACACACACACACACACTTTGTGCGAGCCTGCGCAGTCGACATGCATGTCAACATGTCACAAGATCCACTTTATACTGAAATTTACAGGAAAAATGCCGGCGCCCAGATTGAGCCCAGAACGCAGACACGCACTTTGTGCGAGCTTGCGCAGTCGAAATGCAGCAGGCAATCGAAACGCATGTCAAGATTTCACAAGAGCCACTTTATACGGCCCAAAACCACGGCGCAGACTTTGTGCGAGCCTGCGCAGTCGGAACGCATGTCAAGATTTCACAAGAGCCACTTTATACGAGCCTGCGCAGTCGAAACGCGTGTCAAGATTCCACAGGAGCCACTTTATGCAAAAATTTACCGGTAAAATGCCGCAGACCAGAGTGAGCACCCTGATCAAGCACCGGCCTTTACTATTAACGCAAGAACCCCTCAGTGTGGACACACTGTGTGGGGAAAAAGCATTCTCAAGAGTGTGGGGTTTTGAGTGACAAGTGTGGAGTGTGAAGGGTGGAGTGTGGATTGTAGAGTGTGGAGTGTTGGGTGTTTAGAGTGTGGAGGCCGGGTGTGGAGTCAGGAGTCTGGGCCGTTCATTGTATTAAAGTGTCAATCATGTTCCTATGACATGCATCTGATCAATCAATGCATTCCACCTGAACTGCCGCACTCACGCCTTCAAGTCGTTGAGCAATTGCACCTGCATCGCTACCGCATGAGCGGGAAACATCCGAAAAAGGCGTGAGCAGCACCCAAATCAAAAACTGAATCATGGTGCCACTGTCAGATCTTGAGCCAAAATGGCCCGACAGGGGCACCTTTCGTTTTATGCAAAGAACTTTGTTTTCTTGTACAACAAAGCTGATCAAACTAGCTTGAGTTCCCAAAGGCTCCAGGAGTGAAAAAAAATCAATCGAGATTGATTTTTTCAATCGAAAAAGAAAATTTGCAAAAAAAAACAATAGATTTCGCTTGTTTTTTTAAAAGATCAATCGCTGCACATTCAACATATTTTTTGAAAAAACGATCGCTTTTTGTCCTTAAATTCAATCGATTTTTCACCTGGTTTTTCTGTTTTTGACATGTTTTCTGTTGTGTGCATATGTGTAATTTACCTGCATGCATATATACATATAGATATACATACATAAATGCATACATACAGACATATATACATATATACATTACATTACATTACATTACATTACATTACATTACATTACATTACATTACATTACATACATACATACATACATCCATTCCATTGCATTGCATTGCATTGCATTACATTACATTACATTACTTACATACATTACATACATACATGCATGCATGCATGCATGCATACATACATGCATACATACATTGCATTGCATTGCATTGCATTGCATTGCATTGCATAGCACTGCATTGCAATGCATTACATTACATTACATTACATTGCATTACATTACATTACAGTACATTTCATTGCATTGCATTGCATTGCACTGCACTGCGCTGCACTGCACCGCATCGCATTGCATTGCGTTGCATTGCATTGCATTGCATTGCATAGCATAGCATAGCATAGCATACATACATACATACATACATACATACATCCATCCATCCATCCATACATACATACAGACAGACATACATACATACATCATACATATATAGAGGGCCTATCCAGCCCAAAGGGTGAGGGTAAGTGGGGCTATCCAGCACCAATATTCAAGGAGCCTGAAGGGCCATAGCCCAAAGATTCAGGGCCAGTGGGGCTATCCAGCCCAAAGACACACGCCAGAACTTTTTTCTTGGAGCGAGCAAGGCTAGCCAGCCTACTGTTTTCACTCATTTGCAGGCACCTGCAGCTTAGATTGGCACACCAACCATACTGCTGCAGAAAAAGCCTTCAAGCTTCCTCTGGCTCTTTCTTCTCGTACTCAAGGCGCTTGTCATTCTTTCGCTCTTCTTCGCCAACTTCTTCTGGTTCAATCAGGGCCCCCTCTGGAGGAACTAGGATTTGGCTATCACAGCCATCCATGTAGACCCAGTGCTGGTACTCTGGCAAGGCTGTGTCTTCGCCCTTCACATATTCTACCTTCCTTTTTTTCTGCAGAGGCTCCATGGCTGCCATGGGGGTCTGGCCTTTTCACTGCAGACTATCCGGCCTTAGCCTTTCAACCACAGCTTGCTAATAGGTAAAGCAGCTGTGACCAGAAACTTGAAGGTATGTGAAACTATCCAGCCCAAAGGTTTTAAGGCAAGTGGGGCTCTCCAGCCCAAAGATTTTAGGGCAAATGGGGCTCTCCACCCCAACAATTTTGAAGCAAGTCGGGCTCACCAGCCAAAAAAATTTGAAGCAAGTGGGGCTATTTAAAAGGCTTTCTAATCTAAATCGCTAGACAGCTGTGGCTGGGAAGCACTTCTTTTTGCTGACCCAGAGAGCTGGCAAAATTCAATCTTCTTCAGACAAGTCTAACAAGCCACTCAAGAGCAGGTGGTAGCTGAAGGCGAACTTTTCAAGCACCTTTCCAGGCAGCTTGGCTGGAGAGGTCCCCCTCACAGATGCAGCAGCAATTTTGATGCACATGGACATAAATCCCTCAGGTCCATAGCACCAGGTCATCTTTGGGGCCAAGAACTTGCCCTGCTGTATGTACCTGCATGCAAGCATGTGGTGCTTTTGTGTGATGCTATACCGGCACAGCTTTTGCTTCATCGCATCCTTGGCGGCTAGCCAGCCATAGTGCCACAGCAAGCTTTCACAGCTTTTCTTAAACTTCTGGAAGTCAGCCATGCTGAAGACACTGGCTGGGAGGTCTGCCAGGTCATAGGCCTTGTCCATGGCCTTCATAGCTTCCAGCCTCTTTTGTCCCCACATGGTGGCAGTGTAGTGAGAAGCTAGTTCAAATGTCGGATTCTTCTCCCCTTGCAGTGCTTGAGGACAGGATATTCATCTCCACCTGCACAGACATCGCTCAGGTTCAACCTCTTGAGTCTTTGGCTTGCTGGGATCCCACATTTCTTGTAAGCCTCCACTATTTGCCTGTTCACCTGGTGAAGCTTCATGACTCTGTTGCCACCTTCTTATTCCACTCACTGCC